GAAGGTAATGAAAGCAGGATAGAAGAGCTGAGGTGATGGGAAGGATTTGGAACATGCTCTAAGGCTATCACTGTGACCAACTACCCCTACAGAGGCAAGTTTTTTCCCATGCATATCCACACTCTAGCACAGCAAAGGACCTCTGCCACAGGGACACATCACACCCCACCAAAGGGGCAACAAGATGGCTATTACCTGTCCCACAGTTCCTGAGCAGAGCAGGACTCAGCAGCCAGGTTCAACCAGAAGCCCAAATCTTGTCAGCTCATGGTGACAAGGCACATTCCAAGTCCAAGCTGTGGGTCACAGCCCCAACAGAGTCTGCAATTAGGCCCAAACCAGAAAGCAACCTCACAGGTTGAACTGAAATAGGTCCTACAGCTGAAACTTGGCTATAGGTGTGGGGGAGGTCTCAGGTGAGGCCATTCAGGGCTATTAAGATCAATTAGTGCCACCAGTATCCTGACACCCACCTCCAGACCAAGCCTGAATGCATGCTAGGGTACCTAACCACGTTCATTTTGTAGGTGGATCAATATGTTTGTATGCAATCCTATATTAAGGACTGTAAGTTGGAATTCTCCAATGATTCTTGCAGCTATTTCTCAACTCTTCAACCATACTTACATGATCTGATTCCTGTATCATAAGATCACACAAAAACAGCACAATTTTAGAGAAGAGTTCCAAGATTATTCTACCTGTAGGTTAAATCCAGTGATTGAATCTTGAAACAGAAGTGATTATTTTTATTTACCAGTGCCTTAAGGATTGTCATTCTAGGGCTTTGACTAGAAAGTCATCAGTATGTTTCCACAGTTCCTCAAACAGTGAATGTTGGCTCTAATGTTAATGCTCAGAGATGGTCCCAACTGGATATCCTGAAAGTTGATAGCCATTCATTTAATCCCACAGCACAGAGATATCTTGAAACTTGATTGCCATTCATTTAATCTTGGACTGACCTCTTTCGTCATAGTAGCTTGCTTTTGGTTACACTTATTCACAAAAACCTTTGCTACGATGTTAGAAATTCATGTTACTTAGTTTGTATCTATTAGCCCTTTCTATTGTGAATATCAAATATTGCCATATTCGAGGACCATGTGGGCAGGAATTGATAAGGTTATGGGAAAGAGCGGAGGCTTTCAAGGTAGGTGGACACTAGCTGATCTAAAGCTGGTGCTAAGATGAACCAAGGGATGTTAAGAGGATGAGCACTGGACAAGTCAAAGCGACAAATCAGATGCTCAAGACTACATTCAGGTTAAAATATGTTTTTTTTCCCTTGTCTTAGCTTGTTTCATAGAAAATAAACTGTGAAAACCATGGAAGTTTGGCTGCAGAGATACATTTTCACAGTGTATCCTTTCAACAACTCCCCAAACAAAAAGCAAAAGCTATGTGCTCTTTCTTGTGATATGACGAAGACACGGTGTTACGTTTCACCACAGATCATCTTTTTCTTACAGAAGATGACTGAAGCATCAGCGGGAGACACTGATGGACAGATGACAAACTTTAGTGGGATCTCACACACATGCTCTGTCAAGGACTTGAGAATGTGTCTGCTTTCCAACTCTTAGCCCCAAGCTGCACACATCAATCATCCAGGCTTAAAGGTAGTGTGAAGACAAACTATCAGTCTTCTCCTATAACATCAGCAAGGACTCTCTGAGGTACAGTTCCTCTGAGCTAGCTAGTCTGGCCAAGCCAACTTCTGTGCTGCTTGCACAGAAATCAGTTCAGCCCAATGGCAGCAGAAAATGAAATTAATTACACTCTATCTGTCACCTTTAAAATGGAAGGGCAGCTTTTGCCAAGCATGAAGCCTGCATGATGCTGCATTGCTGCTTGATGCCAAGTGGTATCATGGCTTAGTTCACAAGTAGTATCTTTGTTCTGGTCATTTAAGTGACACTTATCATTAGCCTTTAAAATGAATTTTGTCTCAAAGACACCAGTTGACTGTACAAGAAGAGTGCTGTTTTCCTGGGGGTCTCCAAGGGGGTCTGCAGACATCCTTTGTTTCCAGCAGAACAGAAAGTCCCATTCATACTTCTGTCACATGCCAAAACATGACTATCCCAGAATAGGGCAGCAGGATAACTCCCCAGTGGGGTCGAGAGGAGAGGTGCCACGTGGACTCATGTATTCTGAGAAGAGGAAATGCTGCAGCCCTCCAAAAAGGCCAAAAAGTTGATGGAACTGACATGCCATGACTCCTGCCCTGGGCTGAGATGAGCTGTATGAGGTGCATTTTTTCTGATCAGCCTGAGGAGCATAAATGTGCTCCTCATGGGACAGATTCACTCAGGGAATGATGAGAGGGCACCACAAGGGCACCAGCAGATAGGGAAACTTTTTGGTCCCACACTGGCCAAGTCAGAAGTGCCAACTTTTGTTGCCAGGGTATAGAAATACTTCACTGACACCACAGGCTGGCAAGCTGGAGACACCTAGTAGCATTATGGCCCAAAGGAGGATAGTACCAGATGTCTGCCTCCAAACTAAGGTCAGGGATGGGCTGCACCCACCAGCACAGGCCACTAGCAGCACGTTTCCATGTGGTCTGTCTGGGAGAAGGAATATCTCAGTGAGGAATAAGCTAAGATGAGATGAGATGAGATGAGCAAGGAAGAATGAAGCTAGAGAAAAGAAAGAAAAACATCTTTATCTAATAACTATATGGCAGTGTCAGCAGAGAAAGTGAGAAGTGGGATCCTCAAGCAGACTCCAGAAGCAGCCTCTATCCCCTGCAATAGTATAAAGTGTTTTTAAGTAAAACATTCAGCTTTAAACCAAAAGCTAAGCAAATAAAATAGACCCCTCAAAACGTAATCTCTGTTGCTTCTGATATCTGAGCTGATGAGATCAAAGCTGGTGAGACCAGGGGAAAAGTCATCTCTGCAGAGCAAGCAGTGCCAAGATGTGAGAAGCCACAGAGAGATGGTGGGTGATAGATTCTTCAATTTGGGATGCTTAACAGGATGAAGAGAGAAGAATCTAAATGGAAGTGTTGTTCTCTCTTCTGAGGAGGAGTCAACTCTAATAGATGAGAGTAAGCAGTAAATAAAGACATTAACTTTTCTATGGATTATCCACAGCTCTGATTCATCAAAGCTTCAAGGATTCATGGAAATGATTCAGTGGAGAAAACACATATAATTTGTTTCTATACCAAAAAAGAATAAAGTTCCCAACAACAAATGTAGATTATCTCTACCCTGTTTACAGTTCTTGACCACTGAGCAAAGAGAGCCTCAAATTCTCAGTGGCATCTTTGGCCAAATCTCAAGATGAAAGGGAGTTTCCTTCCAAGTCGAATCCATTTTTGTGTCTGGATCCACTCAGAAAAAAAGGCTGGAACAGCAGACACATATAAAAACATTCTGTTCTGAACTTCTGCAGCTCTCCCGTAAGTAGCAGAGCTCCTGCACCGTTGTTCATGATGCCCATGAAACAGGGTGAAAATAAATAGCCGCAAACTTGAATGCTATTAAAGTCACCTAGAAGACAAAGCATCTTCTGTCTTATTGCTTGCAAATGCGACCTAGAAAGCCCAAATGCCATTCTAGAAAGTTTTCTCTGCTGAGTACCTCTCCCATGAAGACTTGAAGACTGGAGAAGAGAAAACTACAGGGAGACATAGGAGGACTTTTGCATGGCTTTGATAGTTCTTGAAGTTACTGGAAATTACACTTTGAAGACTGGTAATGGAAAGTCCAGTGGGGGGGGAGGGAAAGAAAAAAAAAAAAAGATTAAAAAATATCCTAGCTTGAAGATAAAATGTAAGAATAACAGGTTATAAATGGACATAGTTTGGAGACGGGCAACCAGGGTGAGCAAGGCTATGGGATGGCTTCCTACAGCACAGCTAGGTTGTTCCTCCCCAAGGGGCAGGACCTGATACTTCCTTCTTGTGGGCTGCACGATGGACTGCCCAGCCTGTCCAGGTCCCAGTGAATGGCTGCAAGACCCTCCAGAGTACCAGTCATGATCTCATGTGCTTGAGATTCCTTCTACTTAGGAAAGAGTTTGAACCCATTCTTTTTATCCTTGTTTTGGGGCTAGAAGGGCAAAGGGATTCCCATACCAAAGTAAAGTTACTCCAAAAATCAATGTGACTTTACCAGCATGCTATGCCAGCACACAATCCTGAGTCATTAAGGACATTGAAACAAGATGATTTGGCTATTCCTTTTTCTTTATTTTTTTAATAAAACAACCTGTCCCATACCAAATAAATCCCCAGTTCCTGAGCAGAGCCAGCTTCAGAGCATAGTGAGGAAAAAAACTTTCCTCTGCAAGCAGATAAGCCAAGGAGGTTGGGAGAAGCTTTGTCCCTGGGGCTGTGCAGAAGAGGTTCAGGGGTTTGGAGGAAGGCAGAAGGGATCTCATGGAAGAGCTGTTTGAGATCTTCCGCACAGGGCAGGTGAAACTCAGAGTGGAATCTCTGAGTCAAAACCATGTCTAGAGACCAGACCAGAGGCATGAGGGAAGCTGGTGGGACTCTGGCAGCACTGACTTCTCAGCCATAAAGGCTCTGCCCTATATCTCAAGAGCAAAATCCAAGCAGAGCTGGCATGTGAAAAAGCACCTCCTTGCAGATGGAGGGTGGTCTGAGCTCTCACCCAGCCGGCTTCACATAGAGGCTCAGGGAAGGCAAAGCACAGCCTGTCCACCTCCAGCACCTCAGTAAGAACTTACTGTGCCAGAAGGGAAACAGCACATCCCTGCTGCTGTGCATGCACTCTGGGCACAAAAGGCTCTGATGTCTCCCAAAACTTTCCCCTAAGCTGGCTGGGGTCTATTTGCCAAAGCACAGCCCCATGCTGGTGTCAGCAGCTGCCCCCAGCTCTCTCCCCCCGCTCCGAGAGGGATTTGTTTATGATTTTCATCCCTGCCTGCCTCACCCTCCTCCTCCATCCCTGTCCTGCCTTGCACTTATTGGTCGCAGCAGCTGCGTTTGGGGGCAGCCCAGTAATTTTCTATATAACTAAGTGCTCTGTTCAGAGAGACCTCAGCAAGTCACAAGCGGGAAGGAACACAAAACTGAACTCCAGAATCTACAATGCTGCCATCCTCCTGGGACCTGTGGGACAGACAAGGGGCAGTGAGAGGGAGAGAAACTGATCCCAAGAGCATCCAGAGTTCGTGGTCTCGAAGGTAATCTAAGTCTGATGAAAAGCTTTGCTGTTCCACGCTCTGATTTGCAAACAAAATGATTTCCTGCGCCTGGGTGAGTTTTTACATGTTTTTCAATCTCACAATTTGATGGAGGTGCTGGAGGGATCATATCCCCAAAAAGATCTAACAGGTGCTGCACACCTTTTAGGGAAAGGTCCACCATTCTGGGGACTGGATGGGGTTCAGGAGAGGGAAACAACTGGGGATGTGTGCTCATATCTGCCTTTCTTCCCTCCTTTCCCCATTCAAGGCATTTTTGCTGCAAAAGATGTTTATTTGCACTCTCCACTGGGCAGATGGGATGGGGCCATCAGGCACCTCCCCAGGTGATCGGGGATGTGAACAAGGCTCAGAGAATTTGGAGTAAAGTGGTGCTGGCTTTGGCTTCCACCCGCTGGGCACTTAACAAGCCTCTTAGCCTTCCGTGCCTTGATTCCCCCCAACAAGGGAGAACAAGTTATACTTGCAAGCACTCTGAGATGAGGGAACAAGGAGGGCAAGAAGTCAGTGGGCTGTTGAGCAGGAGAAAACAATACTCCCCTTTTATTAAATTGTTGTATAATAAGGCAAGATGGAGGAGAAGCACTTCTTTTCAGTAGTGTGGAAGGAATGGGCAGGATCCAGCGAAATGTGTCCTGTGATTCCTACTCACATGAGCTCCTCTGCCAAAGCCCTGGGGGCACAACCTCTGAGAACCAGCCTCTGAGTCCTTCACCAGGGAGAGCAGAGAGGAGCAGCCCACTGCTGCCCAGCACACAGCTTTCCAGGGAAGCTTCAGTGTCTAAGCAGATGCTTAGGTAAACAGCCAAAGGAAGGAGATGTTGAAGAATCTTTTGTCACAAAAACTCAGGTTGGGCAGTCAGTTTGTAAGGGATGTGCTGGACCAGCAGAGGTGCCAGGACCTTCAGAGCTACCACCAAGGTTCTTCTCGCAGAATTTTACAGTGGTCACCAAGTGATAAGCTGACATCCACCATGCCTTCCTGGTAGAATTAGCTCTGCCCATGCAGAAGAGATTGTGTGAGATGAGGGATTCCCTCTTGTGCATATTCCTTTGTGCTTAGGAGCAGCAGGATACACCTGCAGGTATTTCTCAGTGCTGGGATGCCCATGTAAGCTGGATGCTCTCAGAACAGATATGGGTCAACTCCTAACCATCACATGGAGAGGCTTTTTTATTTTTATTTTTTTCCCTACAGTAACTTCATGGTGGCCATTCTGGCTCATATTGATGTGGCTTATCTGCAAGATAAGTTTGCAAAGCTGCTTGAGCCTGCAGAGATAAAAGGCATGGTGAGCATGCAGAATTGCTATGCACCAGGCATGAATATTTCAGCAGATAGAAGCATGCTGACAGTGAGCTGGAAAGAAAGGAATGGGATCTTTAACTCTCCTGCGCTAAAACTGTATCTAAGGTGCCATCACAATGTAAGGGTCAAACTAGAAAGAAAACATCTTTAAAAAGTAGTTGTTTTAACAGAACTGAAAACTCATCTCTTGAGTTCATGAGGTCTGAACTGTGATTGAAGCCTGTGGTTATTTTATTGCCTCTGTTTGACATGTAACTGAGAATAAATGTCAGGTTTCCTACTAACGTTGCCTGTTTGCAGCTTAATTCACTAAGAACCTGGCTGAAGGGTCAGAGAGATTTCCTGGCAGAAGCAGCAGGATGAAACTGAGGAAAGGTTAGGTCAGGTTAGGCTGGTTTGTTGGGAAAGCATCCAGCTTCTTACCAATCATGCTTGGAGACTCCCAAACAAGCAGGAAGGCACAAGTGTTCCTGCAGAGCTGACACACAAGGCAGCTGTACCTGGAGGAGCTGTGGCTATACCTGGTGGCTCTTGGGGTTGGCTTCCCAACAGCATGGTCCCACACTGTACACACAGTGCTGAAGCCCCTCCCCCAAATTCATACCAGTACGGTTCTGCAGCATCCTCAGCTGTCCCGAAGCTGAATGCGATTTGCTGCTCAACCAGCCCTACCTGAGAATACTGGCTGAGATGTGCAAAACAGAACCCAATCCGGTGATATTTATTAGCAGTGCTGCAGGCTTGGTCAGCTTGAGAGACCTTTTACTGTGCTCAGCAGTCAGCACTGCAAACAACACAGGGAGATTTATGTCCCCGGGTATTGAGTGGAACAGCATGGTGGATTTGGAAAGGAAGTGGTTCAATTAACAGCGATTAAGGATGGGGAAGGAGGAGTTGCTCTGCTTGCACATAAATTGGAATAAGATGTCAGGTATCAATAGAGCATTTCTGGAAAAAGCCTCATGGTATTTTCCCAGCACAGTTCTCAGGGTACTGTGCTGAGTTTTGTCTCTTTGCAATGAAAGATGGCATACGGGATGTGCTGATGTTCATGTTGCTCCACTCTTCCCATGGCATGAAGCAGGAGAAAAGCTGCTTTGTTTCTGTGGATGATGCAGGGTTTGCAGAATCATCCTGCTGTGCAGGTGTGTGGAGCAGGTGCCCCAAAACTACTTTTCCTCCACTGACTGCAGACAAAATACCTCTCTGCCATCTTCTTAAACACTATCAGGCCCCTTCCTCTGCTAACCCACCTCTCTCCCTTGTCCCTTTCTCCATCTTCAGATCAGACCAAGACCCAAACAAAGACATCCCAAAAGTCCTGCATTCTGCAGCCAGCTTTGTCCTTCGGTCCTCAACGGCGAGAATCTCAGCTCCCACTACTCTGGCCATCCTCCTGACTTGCCTCTTCTCTGGGGCACATGGCCAGACCCCAGAGGCTTTCCAGGCAAGCTCCATTCCCTTCAAGGCACTCAGCCAGGAGCAGGCTTACAGCCTGCTGCAGCCCAGCCTGTTCAAGGATGCCAAGGCACCCAACTACTCAGAAAGTCTCCCCAAGAGCAGCGGGTCGGAGCCACCCCTGCTGCCTGTCTGTGTGAAGCCTGCAGATATCAGGCACATCTTCAAGTATATCAACACCATCGTGTCCTGCACCATCTTCATAGTAGGGATCATTGGGAACTCCACACTCCTGAGGATCATATACAAGAACAAGTGCATGAGGAATGGGCCGAATGTTCTCATTGCTAGCTTGGCACTTGGAGACCTTCTCTACATCCTCATTGCTCTGCCCATCAATGTCTATAAGGTAGGCTCTGTGTAACAGGAGTACTGGAGCAGGATGGTATCTGCTACCACCTGCCTTCGTGCCCTGCTATCTCCTATCTTCTGCTCTATATCACAGACTCCATTTTTGGCAAGGATTAGGGGAGGGTGATCATGCTTTCCAAAGGAGAAGGGAAAAATAAATAGGCACAAAGCTCACAGTAGGTTCCTGGGAAAGCAGAGCTGTTCCCAGCCACTGATGTGTTCTATACACACACACATATCCAGGTCTTTTAAATGTTATTTAAAATTGCAAGGAAAAGAGTGACTTGTAGTCACTTGGCATTCACAAACATCTAGTTAAATACAAAGACTCATCCAGGAACACTGAACAGGGCTGTTTTATAAACAGGGTAGAGAGGATTTGGCAGATGTTGGATGGAGTCCCGAGGCCCCAATCAAAGGAGTCATACTGTATGAGACATGCAATTACTCCTTGTCTACCATACTGGACAGGTTTTGGTGGTCTGGAGTAAGAGGATTATAGGAAGGGTCCAGAAGGGCTGCAGGTGAAGGACTTGGAGCTCAGATGCACTCATACAACTGGACTGTGGGTACCTAGGTCTGACAGCCCTCCTCTTTGGTATGCTTGCCTGGTTCTGTCCTATTTCACAAGTCTGTATGTCCTAAGGTCCTACATATCGTAAAAAAGGGCTTGTGGGACCAGACGGAGACTGTAGGAACAACCTTACAGAAGGAAGCTGGCAGATGAGCCTGTCACAGGCTGAATACCCAGTTCTATGTCCTGGTCAGGTAAGTACTGACGGCAGTGAGGGCTGTACAGAGTTCAACGCTTATACCAAAGGCTTCATCCACAGGATAGCCCATGCTAACACAAGTTTTTGCCCTCAAGACACACTCAGCCATCTCTCAGAGCTCCCTTTCTCCTGTCTCATATTGCCCCATTTATACCCTCTGCTCGCCTCAGTTGAGCTTAGGGCCACAAGTAGGTACTGGCTTTAAAGGGAACACCAGATCTAATTCCAGAGAAGGTGAGAAGAGTTTTGAGGAGAATTTGCACTATGGAATCTAAACGTGGTAGAAGGGGTGAGCATAGGGAGCAGCACATAAGTCTACATGGCTGTGAAAGCTATCTCAAAGAAGCTGTCCTTGCTGGATTTTGGCTATTTCAGAGAACGATATCCACTTCCCCTCTGAAGGCATCCCAAAGCCCTTTGTGACTTTCATGATTCTTGGTGTCCAAGCCATCTCTCCATGTGTGTGTAAGCTCATCTCACAATGAGCCCTTGGGGAAACAAGTGGTTCCCAACACAACCCAAAGCACCGGAGAGCACACACCATGCCATCCCAGTGGAGGTAACCTCAGAGTGCTTTCAGCTGCTCTTTGTGGGCTTCTTGCACCTTGTGGGTAACCACCTGCTATTATGGGAAGGCAGGCATACCTTCCCGTAGCAGTCTGTTAACCCTGAGATTCTTCCCCAGCTCTTGGCAAAGGACTGGCCCTTCGGTGTGCAGGTGTGCAAGCTGGTCCCCTTCATCCAGAAGGCTTCAGTGGGCATCACAGTCCTCAGCCTTTGTGCTCTCAGCATCGACAGGTGAGAAACAACTTCCACAGGTGCCCTGCCCAGCCTGGCCCATATTTAACCACAGTATATTCTTCTGTTGCCTGCAATTAGAAGACTGTAGAGTGACTTGGTTCCAGGCCAAATTCAGAGAAGGGGAGAGGTAGCTTTATGTAGAGTTGAAATCCAACAGGAACCAGCTATTCTCTGTGACAAAGAAGTGTAAGTCCTGCTGGAAAAGGTTGATATGAGGAGCATAAAATGTAGGAATAACTGCTAGGCTGGTGGGGAAGGATGGCACCTCTGCCACCAGGAGGTAGACATACTGGCCAAGGTCAGCTCACTTCACATTTATCCCTTGAGGCCCTGTTGCAGATCCTTCCCATTCCACTGAAGGAGAAGGCAAAGCAATGGTGAAGGAAGGAGGGAAGGAAAGGGACTCTGGGGACAATTCTAATACTCACCTTCCTAGCTTCTTTCTGATAGTGGCTTTTCTCACTCCTCTCCACACTTGTACCCCTATACACTGGGCAGGTATCGAGCAGTGGCCTCCTGGAGTCGGATCCAGGGCATAGGAATCCCCATGTGGAAGGCGGTGGAGGTGACGCTGATCTGGGCAGTGGCCATTGTGCTTGCAGTCCCTGAAGCCATAGCCTTTGACATGGTAGAGATCAACTACTGGGACCAAGACCTGTGGGTGTGCATGCTTGCCTCCGAACAGAAATCCAGCTTCATGATGGTATGTACTCTGACCCATCCCAGCTGCAGTGCAAGGAAGACAAAGACAAAGGCAAACAGGGCTTCCTTTCTCCTTGATTAGAAGGTTAGATGCACTATATATGACTTCCAGCCAACAGGGAGAATGTGGGGAGAGATTAGACAAAGCAGAAAGTACCAAATTGGGGTAGAGTTGCTTTGATGTGAGGCCTGGAAACAGGCAGAAGGTCTTTTAGCTATGTTGCATCCTCATTGCCCACCTCAGAATGTCATGACCAATCTTGGTGAAGCTTCAAGAAGCTGCTAGACTGTCAAAACAGGCCAAGTAGCACCTCCACAACCAGACTGCACAAGTCCAGCTAAGGGTGAGCAAGGAGATGAAGGCCTTTGTAAAGCATCACAACTTGCCCTTTCAACCCAAGTCTGCCTGAATAAGCACCTTGCAACCATTTCTCGTACAAAAATGTTAGATCAGCAGCCAGGTGTAAACCAGACTTCCTCTCTTTGGGCTAAGCCCTGGGGGGATGATGATCCCATGTACACTTAGCCCAGGGGCTGTTACACTTTCAAACATCAGAAGTGTCAGAGTGGTCTGATAAGTGACACCAATGGTGTCAGGAACCAATGCATCAGCTACCTTCCTTCTTCCCTGTTTCCAGTTCCTCTGTGTTTTGCATACAGTTCTATCGTGACGTGAAGGACTGGTGGCTTTTCGGCTTCTACTTCTGCCTCCCCTTGGTATGCACTGGCATCTTCTACAGCCTCATGTCATGTGAAATGCTGAGCAAGAGAAATGGCATGAGAATCGCTCTGAATGACCACATGAAACGGGTAAGAAAACCAGGAGGGCAGAAACCTTGTTTCCCAAAATAAAAGGCAATGATGTAGAATGGGAGAACATACGTGAGTTCTTACACACTACATAGTTTCACAGCAGTCAGTGGCTTCTTGACAGGTAGATGCAGATGCATGGATTAAACAGGGAGAAGGGCTCTCACCTCTACAATCTTCCACCTCAGAGGCAACCCAAACCACCGGCATTGTGACCCCAGACCAGTTTGCTTTTCAATTCTCATGGTCATTTATATCTTTGCTCTCTCCCATACCTTGGTGAGCTGCTGGTTACTCCAATAACACAGCAGGAAGAACAGATAGATGAGGCCACCTCAGCAAAGTGACTAGAAGTGATAGTAGGATGGGGAGAAGGAAACTTTACCCTGGTCTACATTGCATTACTGCTACCTTACTGCTTTCTGCAGCCTGGATCTCACAAGCCATCCTCATGATGTAGGAACTGGGACCAGTAGGCTGTGCTTTGGACTCAAAAGGGTACCCAGCCCTCCTCAGGTTATAGAAAGGACATGAAAGGCCATTGGTCAGCACGAGGAGAGTGTGCTTTGCCCCATACACTCAACCGGAGTATACCTTCTCCCCTGCCCACCCTCTCCTTGCAGCGTCGGGAGGTGGCCAAGACTGTCTTCTGCCTGGTGGTGATCTTTGCGCTCTGCTGGCTGCCGCTCCACCTCAGCCGCATCCTCAAAAAGACCATCTATGATCAGACAGACCCCAACAGATGTGAACTGCTCAGGTAAGAGCAACAGCAGGAGGGCACTATGCCACAAGCCCCAATGCGCACCTGCAGAGGTTCACTGGGCTCACAGCAGGCTGAGGGAACTGCCTTTCAGACACCTTCCTATCCCTATGCTAGATGGCATTGCTCTGGAGGCAGGCACAGAGAAAGGAAGTGGGGATCACATGGAGAGCACTATTTATGAGTTAAAGATGCCTCCGGGCAGAGAAACATTTGGAAGTTTGGAAAGTCCTTTAGCTGTCCACTCAGCAAGCTACCAGCCCCTTCTCTCTCCTCTTGGCAGTTTCCTCCTCGTCATGGATTACTTTGGGATCAACATGGCCTCTCTCAACTCCTGCATCAACCCTGTGGCTCTCTACTTTGTCAGCCGAAAATTCAAGAACTGCTTCCAGGTAGGGATAGTACCTCCATTGCCATAGACTTTGGACGAGGGGAAAGGCAGACATCAGGTACTTGTGGGGCCTGGCAATGGCCCACAGGATGCCCATATTTGCTCATTGTAACCCTCTTCCCAAATGTTCACCCTCTCTTCCCAGCTTCAAACACAATAGAGCTTCCTGCCTTGCTACGGGGAGACTTTTCCCAGAGCAAGGCCTGTGACAAGCTCCAGAGAAGTCCCTGTCATTCTGAATCAGAAGCAACTCCACGTGCCTTTAAATCAGGAAGTGGGGCTGCTATAAACTTCGAGCCCAATCTCCTCAGAGAGAAATTTATGAAGGAGGGAAGCGCTAAAAAAGGATGGGACTGAGATGAAAACCACCTCCCAGCTGCTATGGCAAGGAATTGAGCCCACCTATTTTCTGTCCTTCAAGGACAAGGACAACTGCAAAAAATCCCTGAGGCTTTGCTACCTTCATTTCCAAGCCACACCAGCCCTATCTTGACAAACCTATTCCCATCAAATCAGTAGGAGAGCTCAGCTCAGTGCACAACCTGGCAACGCGCAGGTTCATCTGCCAAGAATGTTTCCCTCATATCCCACGTACATAACATTCATGCTTCGACCCTCTTTGTCTCCTTGCAGTCCTGCCTGTGCTGCTGGTGCCAGAGACCTGCTCTGAGCATCACACCGACAGATGAGAAGGGCTCTGTGGGGAAGTGGAAAGCCAATGGGCAGGAGCTTGGACTGGACCGGAGCAGCTCCCGCTTGAGCAACAAGTACAGCTCTTCCTAAAGCAGAGAGGAGAAGGCACTGTGACAAGATGGTAGGACACCTCAGATTCCCTTGCACAGCTATTTCCTGGCTGGGCTCAAATTGTTTTTGCCTTCATATTATAACCCACCTGGGTAAGAGCTATAGCATTTCACTGACCTCAGGACTAGCTCTGAACACAGCCTCAGGGCTTTGCTTGTCCATCCTCCAGTCCAAGTCACCTCTGCAGGAGGAAGAAGAACGGGACCCAGCCCCTGTAGGACTTTTCTGTTCCTTGAAGGTCATTTGTCTTGAGTAGAAACACAGGGTGAGGAGATTGGAAAGAAAAGTAAAGTTGAGATGTGGTCATGTGAAGATGGATGTGGGACACGGAGGAAAGGGCAAGTAACCCAAGCAACAATTTCCAGCTGAAAAAGCAAAGCATTGTCCCTTATGATCTCCCTCTGCTGGAACAGTTTGTCCCTGGGCAGAGCACCATGATAAGACCCAGGTATCACGTAGGTTTTCTAGACAATCAGTGACCTGAAATCTCCCTCAGCTCTGGTATTGAGGGGTGGGCAGCAACCCAGCATCACAGTGCAATCAACCTGACCTGGGAAGCCCTGAAAGACCTCTCCTCTTTACCTGTTCCCAGGAAATTTGTTCCAGGCTCTCCACTCAGGGATGGCATTCACCCTGCCTATGTATGGCACAAGAAGGTGACTGAATGCATGAGACAGCACAGCTTAGGAGTCCAGGTGTCCTCAGCAGAAGCCGGTGGCAGCATCCAGCCAAACCACCTGCTTCAAATTCCTCCTCCCCAGTTTCTGGAAGCCCAGCACTTCTTGGGCACGGCTCTGTGACACCAAGGTTCAGGCTATTTGTAAGGAGGATGCAGATTCTGTTCCTCAGGGTCAAGCTAAGGTGGAAAATACAATGGGGAAGACCTGATCTCAGCTGAAGTTGCTGTTGAAACTAACCAGAATATGGCAAAGAGCCCTCGCAAACTTACAATTTAAAGTGATTAGACCCCAAATGCCTTCTCCAGCATGACTTTCTAAAAATCACGCTTGCACCCCCTGCCAAAACCTCAAGAAAATCTGTAAGAGATTGTTTCATTTACCAGACTTTTTATAATTTTCCTGTTGTATTTTTCTTCTCTCTTATATCCCTTTTTCCTTTCCTCTTTCTCCTTTTCACCTTGTCATGGAGAAAAAAAAAAAAAAAAAAAAGGAAAAAAAGAAAAAGGGAGAAAAAAACTTGTAAATAAAGCTGAACTCATTCCATGTGACATTGTATTTCAGTGAAAGCTAAGCTAAAAACAAATATTTTACAAACAAATCATATTTTTGAAAGACAATTAGGTTTCAAATCTAAACAGAAGGACTGAGGGATATCTAGACCAGTAAGTTTTCCATAACCTTACCTACCCACTAGAGTAGATTGGCCTGTATGCATTTCACAGTGTTGCTGCTGTGCTCTGCCTCTGAGCTGGCATTTTGTTGGAAGACAAAGTCATTGGAGAAAATTGATAGCAATGAAATGTTCCATCTTAGTAGAAGGATTTTTTTTAAATAATTGTGCTCATTAGAAAAATAGTTATCTGAATTTTACATATTTCTGTGAAGAGTCAACCTTTATCACGTTGAAACAAGCATTCAAAGGTCCTCTTCCATTCAGGACAGCCCCAGCTGTGTCAGCCTGGCTTCCTCCAGCTCTATCCAAATCAGCAATAGGAACAGCCCTGCCACCAGCAATGATTGTTCTCTTACCTGCACACTGCATGGAGACTAGCAGATTTAAACACACTGTTCCCATTCAGCTCAGTGAAGACCGAAGCATCTGAATGATTCCCCAGCAGTGACCTTTGGTAATAGCATAAGGAGCAGTGCCCCAAATGTTCAAGATCTGTGATTCTCTCCTAAGGACAGCCAGGCCCTGTTCATACTCACAGTACAGACAGCAATTACATCCACACAGGGGAATCTTTTTACTTTGCCTAACCTCCCGGACCCCAAATAGCTAACATCCCTCTTTATGCTCCACAGCAAATTTAATCATTTCTGCATTAGCAGCTACTCTCAGATCAACATTTTCACCTTAAATGGTTCAAAACCAGTCTCAGATCTGCACATGATTAATATTACAACAAACAGACTGCCATGAATTCATCCCAGCTCTGGACGTTGGTACCACTTGCTGCACAGCTGCTTAACACTGACTACAGACTCCTTGCCTTTCTTTCCCCTTGTGTTTTCCTCCCAAGTGTCTCCTATTAAAACCAACATCGTAAAATTTGACTAAGTGTGAGAGGGCAGAGAGAGAAGAGAGCTATCAGCTGCAAACAGCATCCTTTTAAAACTCTTACACTGCAGTGGTATTCACTTGGCCACTTCTCAAAGGTCTCTATTAGGCTGCAACCAAGACCATGTCAAACACAAAGATAAAGCAAGGAACACCAGTAAACAAGTGCCCGTGCAGCTTAGCTGCTCATGGAACTGCAAGTGCAAAAACAGCTCCCACCTTTCAAGATCTTTTTAAAGTTACTCTCCATGCTGCTGGGGCTTAGCAGTCACAGGACTGAGCCCAGGTGTATCAGTCAGGTTCATATTTATTCACCCCTTTTCCCTTCAGCCAAGCCAGACAGGATCAGACAAAATCAAAGCCACCACAGCCACTTGTAAAGATGCAGGAACCCATTGGCATGGGCAAGATGAATCCATTGCAGCAAACTGAAGCAAAAGAGCCTTATAATGAAATGCAGGGTTCAGATGGCTTCAGGACCTAATGCCTGTGAACACAAACCCACTGCCAGTCTGCCAGAAACCAACTCTGTCAATTTGTATTTGAAAGAACAATTTTATTGAGAAAACCTGACATTTACATCCTCTTATTCCTCTGTATGTTAATAAAACATGTTGGTGTTTGAAAGGAAAGTCTCTGGGTGTTTCTTATTAAGCAGCAGGGGGTCTGCAAAGTCTGCTAAATACTTAATTGAGTGCCAGCAGGTTCTTTTGGTAACTGCAGACCTCCACTGAAGAGACAGAGGTGCTCCCCCTGGGCAGAGCAAACTGGGAAGGTTCACACTCCTGCACCCAGCACAGAGCAGAAAGAACTCCTGTTACTTCATGCCACATTACACTCAATGAAAGGCTTTCCCTTGGCTAGCTGCCAGCAGATCAGAACAAGGCCGGGGTTTCAGCACTGCACTCTCTAGATAAGCTCACAAGGAGTGGTCTGGGCTTGTGGCTGTCTGCATTCTTCAGGGGGTTTCAATGAGGCAAGTTTCATTGTGTTTTTTTTTTCAATTGTCTCACCATGAAATGATTCCCTGCTCATTTGAGGGCGATCTGTTAAAAAAAATGAAGGCTGATTATATTACTTGAATGCAACCAGAGGGCAAAGAAGCTGGCAAAAGAGCTTGAAGGCGTGTCCTGCACAGAAAGTCTGAAGACACTTGGGCAGTCCAGTCAGGAGGCCAAGGCAACCTCATTGCTCTCTGCATCTTCCTCTGAGAAGTGAGGAATGACGCACAAGTCTCTCCTCCCTGGTAATCAATGACAGAATGCAAAGAAATGACAGAAGGATTTGTCAGGGGGGTTTCAGACTGGATACGAAGAAAATTTGACCACGCTCAAGGTAAAGAAACACTGAAATAGGCCTACTAGCAAGGTGGCTGATGCCCCATGACTGTCACTGTCCAAGAGGCATTTGGGTTTGGGGCCAGTAACAGAAGGATTTACATCAGAAAGAGGCTATAGCCTCTCTCAAAGCCTGAATTTACACTGCATTGAACACCTTTATTCCCCTTGTATGCTGGAGCAGAGCAGCTCTGTGCACCAGACTACCTTCACCATCACAAGTGGTCTGAACATCCTGGGCAGAAAACAGCAACATTTGAAGAGGGGAGGAAATAAAATGGAAGTGTGAAAAGAGCTGCCTTGCAGCTATTGTTTTCTGTACCTGCATGAGCTGAAAACAGCAACACCTCTGCAGCATCAAACTTCACATACTTTATTACTAGAGAAAATACACACATCAAAGTAGTTATTAGAAAAACCAAAACCAAAATACTCTTGACACGGGGAATTCAGTACATGAACAATACAAACATCCACGAGGACCACCATTCCCAAATGCTACTGCATCTCTTCCTCCCTCTGGGCCCTGTATTTTCTCATGCTCTTCTGCAAGCAAGAGCAAAGGACAAATGTTAACAGCAATACATCTGAGCGATTCACACACCAGCATCACCACATCAGTTTGTGCTGTGACTTCTCCATCCAAATCCTGGAACAGTTGAGGGACCACAAAATGCTCCAAGAACTTCCGGAAGAGACTGAGCCTTTAGTCATCACAGTACAAAGGAAGTGAGGCCGTGCCTGCTGGGTCCAGCTGCAGGGGTAAGCCCTAAAGACTTTGTGCAAGCTCTGGCCTAATCCTGGTCGACGCGTTGAGGAAATACTGAGAGAAGCCAACCAAGCATGCTGTGGGAGGACATGCTCAGCAGCTCAGTCTCCAGTACCCTGGGTCTGCTCTCCACCCCCAGCTCCAGCTCTCGGCCACTCTCCTGCTGAAATGTACATCCTAGAGACAGCACTCAGAGCTGGGCAGTCCACAGATTGGCTACAGGGAAACTACAGCTCAGGCTGTAGTGAGTGTTCTGGCACTCCTCATGTGGAAGCAAGAAGTTCAGAGGTGCTCCCATTTAAGTTAAAAGACAGGAAGTCTGAGAACTCCTTCCTCCATTACCTGCAGGAATTTCTGCTCCTTAATGCTCCATCCATAGCAAAAATACAGGCAGAAATACTCATGGGACATCAAAAATTTCTGTTGTACCAACCAGTGCCTTCCACTGGAGGAACCACAGGGCTTTGCAAAGACTGACTTGTCCTCTCCTCTTCCCAACCCCAGTGGCTGAAGTAGTGGTTTAGGACTTGGAAAACCACTGTCAAACCAATGTCAGGCAAAGAATGCCTGAAAAAGCTACCAGGCTTTTTGTGTCAAAAGTTCTCAGTCCCTCTTGACCAAGAAGGCCCCTGAGCTCTTCAGGCAACAGTCTCACCTCAAAGGTATCGAGTACGTGTTGGCAAACACCCATCAGGTCGTTCAGCCCTTTGCGGAATGGCTCAACAGCAGGAAGGGACCCTTCAGAAAAGCAGATGAATTAGTGAAATGGGAGGTGGCTGGGGACCTTTCCCTCAACACTGCATGCCAGCATGGCTGTTCCCATAATATAGAGAGGCTCTTACACGGCAAACAGCAACGTGTGGGCTCCTGCCAGCCTATCACCAACAGCCCAAGCCCAGATCTCAGAGCCTACGTGCTCTAGGCTATAGCCCAGGAACAGCAGATACTTACCCTGCAGTTAGTCCCACGTTGGCAAAGCCAACAGGCAGAGCAGCAATTATTTCTACAAAGTTGAAGAGTCAGCAAGCACAAGCAAGCAACTTGCTTCCAGGAACTGACTTCTACATATTTGATGCTCAAGGGATCAGCCCCATGGGGAAGGAATGAAATAACAGCAGCTCTCTAGGCAGCAGACAAAGCTGCAGAGCATACAGGGCCAGGTGTGTTGGGAGGAACAGGTGACTGCAAGAAGCTCAGAGCTGTCAGTGCTACCTATTGTCAGGGGACAAAGTCCTCTTCAGGAGGCAAGTCATTGGGTCAGCACACAGAGACAGCTTTTCAAGACAGCCTCAGGTCCAAAGCTACAAAACAGCTGAGTAGTTGAAAAATGAATTATCTTATTGCAGTTAGGTATGTCAGCACAGTTTCTAAACACCACACTGACTTAAGGAGAGATCAACTCTAACACTGAACAGCAGATCTATTCTACTTCCAGCACTACAGTTCAGGGCCTGCTGCCAACCAACTCAGACAACTGGGACCAGGCAAGGCCATGGGATCCTCAGGACTCAGCTGGCAGATGCTGCTCAGCCCTACAGCTGGGAAACAGAAGAGCTACAGCACAAAGCTCAGAGCAGCCTCCCCAACGAAGCAACAGGGCACAGAAGTTGCAGATGGCTAGCACAGAAGAGAGAGAAAAGTGCATTTCTTTGTTTGCACAACCCACAGCTGAAACCTGACACAAGCAAGGTGAATCCCACAGAAATAGCCAGACACAAAGAGGACACACACACATCCATACCTCTGGTCTGAATGCGGAAGTTGATCTTGCTTTCAGACGGGTGTGTGATGCAGTAGCCACAAAACTCCACATCAGGGCTGTGGTGGGGAAAGAGAGAAAAAATGCAATGGAAGCCCAGACTGTTCACAGCACATCTCAGCAAAGTCAGAATTTCAGGCCATCTCAGACCTGCTGGGGCTCAGGATTCTTCTGCAATGACCAAGGGGCTCCCAGGAGGAGTATGCTGCAAGGAAACAGCCTGAATAATGTTATTCACGTTCTCCACCTTTGAATTGCAGCTTTGCAAAGCAAGGATGTGGCTGGCAAGCTCCTAGCACCACCAACTGCCCAGAGAACCTACAGCATCCTCTGCATTTTAGACACACAATTTCCTCCATGATTAACCACCAAGGAGCAGTAAGGACTAGCTGTTACCTAAGGGATGGAAAGTTGGAAGTCAAGAAGGTTAAGACAGCCAACGGGACAGTGAACTCATCAGCCAGCCCCATCCTATGGCACTCAAGTGGTAGAATAAGGTAAGCCTAGAGATAGTAGCTAAGATCAACTAAAGGTCATCAGGTAAGTCTGTGGGGGTAAAACAAGTCCAAGGGCAGGCCAAAAAGTCAATCCACAGGCCAAGTGAAAGAAACCCAAGTTAAACACAACAGAGTGATCAATAGATAGGCCTATAATGATAAGAAAGGACTGTGACCAGGTCTGTAAAGTCTGTAGCCAAGTACAAGCAATACTATGGCCAAGCTAGGAACTAATGCTCCTGTCAAACAGGCAACAGCTGGAAGCTGTGAGCTCAAATGAGACTCCTGAACCAATGGGCAGGGTATGGAGGTTCCAGGTGAGACCTGTCAGGCTCCTTAAGGCTTATGAGTGCCTTCTGGGTCCTGATAACAATAAGGAAGGAAAAAAAGAAGAAAAAAAAAGCAGCTGATTTGGGGAACAGAAGTCACAGATAAGGAATCTTTGATGTGTCTGATATAAGACCTTAACAGATACAGAAGGAGGTGACTTCTGATTACATGTTTCATTCTAACACCCTGAGGTGCAGGTTATTAAAGAGAAGGCTAGAATAGGAAACAAGTGCTCTTAGCAGCACCAGACACTGTAGGGGCTTTACTTACTTTTTCATGACCATGTATCGGAGGGAGTTGCCAAGTGTGTGGTCCTCATCATGCAGCACAAAAGTGACACAGTTTCCATCTGTTCCATCTGCCTGGACCTGCCACAAATTGGGAAAGAAGAGGTGCCATAATGTTTTCTGTGGTAATAAAGACCAGGATGCTAGTGAAGAATCTGGCCTGATTCCAAGATACCAGAGGCTGAAAAAATTGCATTTGTTTCTCTTTCAACAACCTGCACCTGCCTGTGCAGGGCCTGTTTCTGGGGGATAATGTAGAAAGGGTTATTACTGAACCCTGTAACACTAGCAGCAATCCCTTAATTCTGCTGTTTTAGGCTTAGGCACCCAAAAAGTATGAAACTAGCCAGTGTTTCCTAAGAAGCCCAGTTTGGGATCTCCTCCAAAGCCAGTGAGCCACCTAACTAATTGCTCAGCTACTAGAGGGATGCTCATCCCCTGATATTTCCCCAGGTTCCACAAAACCTGGTATATCCAGATGGCATTGATCATTTCCACTCCTAGCAGCAGAGAGACTTTGAGGCTAAGTGAAGAGCCTGACTGGATGAGTACTGATCTCTTTGCATCCTGCCTCTTGACAAATCTTCAGCTGCTCCAGTGGTTTTATAACCTCCATGTGGAGCAATGCTCCCCTTCCTCCTCTTACAG